AATTCCCTAGCCAGCCATAGTGGCTGGGGAATTCTGGGAGTTGAAGTCCACACATCTTCAAGTTGCCGTGGTTGAGAAACACTGCTCCAGAGGCGCAGAGCAGAGCAGCAGCCGACCCTGATCTTGAGCCTAAAGTTCAGCATCTGGAGTTCACGAATGTCATCCTAGGTTCAACTCAGAGATGTGGGTTTTCTGAAAAACGTGGAATCAGAAAATTTTCTTATGCAAATAAGCAAGAGCCCAATTCACATGCTATATCAATACCCACAGTTTGCCCAAGTATTTAGACTACATTGATATGAAAAAAAATAAGGCTAGCCCCTTTTGTGAAGTCTGAAGACTACATTCAAAGAAACTAAAAGATTTGAAGTGTGGAGAAAAATGATGTTTACTGGAAATAAAACATGTTACATCATTGAAAATGCAACTGGCCTGAAGTGGAAAATGTTGACCCCAGAATAATTTCTGACCAATATCTCTGGTTTAACCTATGGCATTTTAGGAAAGGATAAGAAAAAACTATCTGAAAATCTGGAGGGATTGATGTCACTAATCATTTAGGTTGAGTTTAACAGAACAGTAGTTTCATTCTGTACACAACAGCTTCTTATGTTCAACCCAACAACATACAACCAGAATTTCACTGCTGTTTCTGAAAACTTTCCTTAATGTAATTTTTTATAGAGAAGAAGTACCTGTATTTCCCAAAAGCTAATAGTTCATTCCAAAAATACATAAAATTAACTTTGTTCAAGTATGAAGTTAAGATCTCAGTAGCTTTATTCCCCTTGTAACATCTAATAATCTGTGCAAGTGATTAGCTTATCTTAAAATATCTGGAATTAGTTCCATTACAAATAAAATATCCTATGTCCCTATCTAATTTAGCATTTCTCAGTCTGGACTTCAACTCCCAGAATTCTCAGCAATGGCCAAAGGTCAGACATCTGGAATTTGTCCAGGTAGGGAAACAATGATCTGATTAGCAAAGAATGTATACTTTGTCTTGGATATCATTCCATATATCTGGACCATTTCCTATGAAAACTTATGTCTTAAGAAATATACCTTAAATTCAAAATTAAAGTCCATTATCTGAATGACAACCAAAAGATCTTAAATACAGAAAAATAACTTTGGGTCCAAACATTGACTCAGTTCACCATCATATACTGCAGGTTTACATCTTGGAATTAAATAACTGGTTCTGGGTAAAACAGCAGTGTAAAACTCAAAGGATTCTCTCCATCTCTATTTTATTTTGATTCTTACCTTCTGCAACTCAAGGCGATTTTCTTCTTGGATCCGCTTGTTCCGGTCTTTCAATTCTTTTTCCTCTAAGTGTCCAATTCCCTTTTTTTCCAAAGCCTACAAAATAAATACCATTCCCCCAAACCCTAAATAAAGCCAAATAAAAAAATTCTAGAAACATTTTCACTAAAGATGTATCACCCCACATTTTTAAAGAGTCAATCCCTTGCAAAAAATAAAAGAAGAGGAGGTGCCTTTGGGTCAGTCTTGACTCCTGGCATCTATCTGGACAAGGCCCTGTAGTTTTCTTGCCAACACTGGAAGTGGTTTGCTATTGCCTTCTTCTTCCCAGGGCTGAGAGAGAGGGACTGGCCCAAAGTCACCCAGCTGGCTTCGTGCCTAGGGCAGGACTAGAACAGACGCCCACTTTCTAGCCTGGTGCCTTAACCACTACATCAAACTGGCTCCCTATATGCATTTTAATCAATGATAATCTTATACTGTTGATTAGCTTTGCACCTAGATAGAAAAAAATATTGTTGAAGTAAGAAATGTAATAAACAACATTTTAAATCATGTGGTCTATGTGCACTTATGGTACAGTAAACATTGTGGAGTCCTTGGCCACTCTACCTGTGTAAAATCAATAATTATAATCAGTTAAAAGCTGCAGCCTTACTCAGAATTGACCTGAGAATATGATCTGCCCCAAACATATAATTCATCTCATTCCCCTTTCATGTTCCCACCAGCAAATTTTTTGGAAATTTTTTTGGAAGACTCCCATATGAAACTGAAGTTTTACTATACTCATGATTTTCAACAGTCTTCCACAGCTTGGTGTTTTGCAATACTTTATACTTAAATTTCCATCGTTCCTCAATCACAGCCATAGGGCACAGCTGATGGATTATGGGAACTGAAGTCTAACACTTTGGAAGAGGTTGAGGAAGAATGCTCAAGGAGGTCTGTTTGTCTGCCTATCTTCCCTACTCATTCCACTGTTCTCACAACAGCCCTGCAGGTTGGATCAGATTATAAGAGAGACAAACCACCTTACAGAAGGTGGTTCTCCCAGAATGATTCACTGCTACCCTGCACCACCTGTCTCAGACTGCAGACATGAATTCAGGACTTACCTTGCTCCAGATGAAAGCTCCTAGCAGGTTGTTGTCCCCAAAAGGGTTGTCGGTATTGGTGTAGCCCATATACTCTTCTCCCCACCCCATCTTCTCTCGTTTTTTTCGTTCCTTGGCCTCCTTCTTGGCCAGACGACGGGCCCGTTTCTCTTCAGGGGTTTCAAGTGCCTTCATCAGCTCCCTCTGCTTTTTTTTCTCTTCTTTCAATGTCAAGTGCTCCTGGAGGCTTAGCTGCTCACCCAGGTCACCCTTGGAGCTCTGTGAGCGGGAGGGTGAAGGGGACGTCATGGAAGACACCGAGGACCTGGATTCAGAACGCTTCCGGGTTTTCTTCCCTCGCCTCTCGCTTCTGTGGCCCCTTTTTTCTGAAGAGGAATCTGAGCTGGGGGACCGTTCCCGATGACGTGAAGAGTGCCTCTTGTATCTCTTGTGATGCTGGTCCCTGCTTTTTTCCTTTTTCTTTCCCCATTTCTGGTTCTCTTCCTCTGAGCTTTTAAAAAAAAACACCTCTGATGTTAGTTTAAAACAGGTAAGATACATGTGGCACCTGAGACTCTTCTTTGTGGTCCTTGCAGCCCCCTCTGACCATAACTGTTGGAAACCAGAAACAGTTTGAGGTAGGAAACAGAGGAAAACTGTATTGTAAGCTCTAAAATAGGCTTATCACAGTTAAAAAACAACAAAATCCTCTCCCATACTAGTTTTTGCTCTTCTGTGATGCAGCCCCATGCTCCTTGCAGCCTTCACTCCCCCAAAAGTGTCCAGAGCAGCCCTTGGCCCCCAAATATTCCCCACCCTTGTTATATACCTACATTCTTGCAGGTCAGCTTAAGAAGGAACTCAGTGGCTCAGCTAAATGAGCATTCATCAACATGTTACACCCACCAACCCCCATTGCCATAAATTCTGTTGAACAGGCCCAGAATTTATCTCTATAAAACCTTCCGTAAAACAATTAAGCACCATCTGATGCAGACAGAGTCCTAGCTATTTACTTTGAGGTGATTTCAACTGAAAACACTGGCACCTTTCAATCTATTACAGCACTGGCTTTTTCATTTGGTCCCTTAAGGTTGACATGAGGGTGAATTTCAGGAGACTGTCTGCTTTTTCTTAGTTTGTCATAGTTGATATAAGAGAGTCCACAAAATCCTGATTCCAATGAGATGCTGGACATTTGTCAGAAAGCTTCCTCTAAGCCTCTCACTGTAATCTTGTTTCACCATTAACCATTTGTCACAATCACTTATTCCCCAGACCAGATTATTCTGAAAATAATACATATAACTGCACATGCTTTTAGTTTATTAAGCTTTCACTTCCCTCTCCTTCTTTTGTTACCTAACTCAGGCAGCAACATAACCTCTTACACCCTATTAATAGAGTGTCATGAGGACAGATGCCCTATGAGACTCCTGTGGGGAAAAAAACCCCTCAGTTGTACAGGTAGTCCTTGTTTAGCAACTGCCTTGTTTAGCGACCAGTTACGATGGTGATGAAAAAATAATTTTACAACCAATCCTTGCATTTACTACCTTTGCAGATCTGTGAAGCAAAGGAAAGCAGAAGATCATAAGCCCAGTTGACTTAGCAACCACTTTGCTTAACAACTGAGTTGCCATTCCTAGTTGTGGTCGCTAAATGAGGGCTACCTGTATTGTATTACATTTCACATCCTCTCATTCTTTCTAAAGAATCACACATGGATGATGTAACAGTAATAACAGTAGCTACCGTAGTTACTGTTATTGAGATAATTAGGTTTGATATCTAGAGCAGTGTTTCTCAACCCTGGCAAGTTTAAGATGGGTGGACTTCAACTCCCAGAATTCCCCATCCAGTATGCTGGCTGGGGAATTCTGGGAGCTGAAGTCCACCCATCTTAAACTTGCCAAGGTTGAGAAACACTGGCCTAGAGATAGAAGTTACATAAGATTGTTTAAAAGAAACAAATGGAGTTTACATTTTCACGCTCAAGAATACTGGAGATGGGAGGCAGCAGATTCTCGCTACTTCAGAAAGCTCCACTGCCTTCAACGTTCTTTATATGTACTCAGAGGGACTCGCTCCCCAGCCATTACCACTTAAGAACTGTTCCACAGCTTATCCAAACTTAACAGGCTAGGAAACAGGACTTGGGGTTTAAAGCCCTCGCCGGTAACTCTCGTTTGAACCCAGTTCCCCAAATATAAGTCACCCTCCCTAGGGAAGAAACATCTACCAGCAGAAGCCTATCCCTAAGGCCTCTCTACCCCCAAGTAACTCTATGATCCTGAACTCCATGATCACAGATCCCGGAGCCACATTCGTTCAGCTCACCTCCCTTCCCGATCTCTTCTTCTCCTCCCCCGACTTTCTCCCTCTTCAGACCTAGACCGGCTTCTCCGCTGACGCCGTTCTCTAGACCTAGACCTAGACCTGGACCCCATGGCCACTCGAGGCCTGCCCCCTTAGGCCCAACCTGCTTCTCGAAAGAGGTCCTTCCTTACTCTTGTCGCGATGAAGGTTGTCTACTGCAGTGCCTGATCGAGTTCGACTCTAGATCAACTTGGGAGCGCAGCTACTGCTGGTTTTCTTTCTAGAGAGGAACGGAGAATGTTGAAGAGAGACGTCTGTGGCGAGAAGAAAATTAATAACTGTTCAGGCAGCGTGTTGGACACCTTTTTCTCAGCTCTAAGTCACACCAATTTCAACCATAGCGCAAATCTGCGCAGCAGAAAGTAGAAGTTTGACCTGGTTACTGAATTAATCAAGTTGTTGAGTTTCCACAGTATATTTAGCTCTATATCAGTCAAAGAGGCAGGGTTTCTGACAGTGTTTCTCAACCTTGGCAACTTTAAGATGGGTGGACTTCAACTCCCAGAATTCTGGCTGAGGAATTCTGACTAGCTGGGGAATTCTGGGAGTTGAAGTCCACCCATCTTAAAGTTGCCAAGGTTGAGAAACACTGCCTAAGCCGCAAGTACAGCAACCAAGCTTAGCATGTTGAATTAGTGCAGGTGACTAACACAGCATGCTTAACCAAGTCAAAGATCTTGCAGCTGCCAACCTGGTTAATGTTAACCATACAGCAGCTGTGGTTTTTTACAGCTTAGCATGCTATCTTAACAGAGCAAGCTGATTACATTAGTATGACCTCACTGATCCTGAAAATGGATTAATTCAGTAGTCAGATTGTGTGTGGTGTGAATGCATCCTCTTTTCTGCCACAACTTCTCATTAATTGCAGTGTTACGGATAATAGTCTGCATCCTAAGACTGTTTCTGTAATCTGCAGGGTTGGAAGTAGCCTCCTTACAGCATCAAAGAGGCTCCTTACGTACAGCATAAAAACAACAATAGCTGCCCAGAGTTGTCAAGAGTTGGGTGGCATACAAGTTTAACAAATTACCATTATTGTCTTTATTTATTTATTTATTTATTTATTTATTTATTATTAAACTTGTATGCCGCCCATCTCCC